AGAATCTGTAGATAACATAAAACCAGGGCATAATGCATAACGCTCCAACATCTAAGCTATTGCACACAAAATATTCTCAAGCTCCATTAAAATGAAAACAATTTATAGCACTTCATGTGAATAAGACAATCAATAAACTAGCAAATAATAGGAACAGTTAAAAGTCAAAATTCAACAGCATTAATACCACATGAGCATTTATAGTTGTTGTTTTTGATTTAGCACGAAGCTACACAAAGAGCGACCTGTGCTCTAGCCATCACGGGTATCGAAACCCAGTTTCTATCGATACAATTTGTATTACAAACCAAAGAAAAACAAAAAATACCAAACAAATGGAAACATGCAAAGACTGCCAGGAGTCTCATTTGAAGAAAAGAAAAAAATGAAAGAAACCTCTCCATCCACTAAATCAGAAACCCACGGCGTCAGAGAACTTTTCTATATGTGTCGTATCAAGTATACAATACACTAACAGCGTCAGAGAACTTTTTCTATATGTGTCGTATCAAGTATACAATACACTAACGGCGTCAGGGAACTTTTTCTATATGTGTCGTATCAAGTATACAATACACTAACGGCGTCAGAGAACTTTTTCTATATGTGTCGTACCAAGTATACAATACACTAACGGCGTCAGAGAACTTTTTCCATATGTACTAGGTTTCGTCACGCTCGATAACTAATCTCACTTGCCGACTTAACCCGCGAACCTCCTGTTACAGCATAAGTTGTTTACCTGTGTGTTCTTGTTGTAACTCTGCCTTCAAAACTTTTGTTGCTTGAATGTGCTGTTAGCAAAGCCATGGATGCTAATTCACACTGCTGCTTACATTGAACATACTGCTTCCAAATTAACAGGTTCTTAATCAAACTGATACTTAACCACATGTGCTTAACACACTGCTATAAAACTACAAACAGTTTAAAACACCAAAAGTTGAATAAGCAAACCGCTATCAGAACCAAATATGGCTGATCATATCGGCGCCAAAAAATCAAGATGCTTAAATAGGTTCTCTAGAAATCGCGGATATTTGAACATATTGCTCTCCAAACCAATATTTTTAGACGAACTGTTTAATCATTAAAACTGCGCGTTTCAAAACATTGCAATGAAAATTAATGCATTTCAACATAATGAAATTAAATCCACTGACTGGTGCAAAAACATAAAACATTCGTTTCTGTAAAACAACGATATAAATAAAAAGTTCTAGGAATACTTCTGAATAGTATAACGTTTTTTTTCTGTAACCTAAAAATAGAATGATTACACAAAATAAGCTTTGATAACTGTAGAGTAAGGTTACTTTTTTGTATGTTGAGTACCGAGGCCACTTCTGACACCTTAGATGCTGATGCGCCATATATTATTCTAGGGCAGATTTACCCGGTGGCGACCATCTTCTCTCCGGGTAAAAGTTACCTTATACAATTAAATCGTTGCAAAAATGCATTAAGTTGAAACACCGTTACAACCTAGTTTTGGGGCTAATTATTTATTTCAACCTATAATTACATTAATGATCCCTTGAATTTAAAGGACAACCCCTTATCTTATGAGTGTTGATACTACTGTCTTATAGCAAATACGATTGATTATAATCACACTTCAACAGCAAAAGGTATTCATATCATAACAACTGTAAGGACTACATTGTTATGGTGTGAACGCCTTTTTCACTTATACTTGATTAAAATAGAACTAGATGTTTTAATACTAGAAATAAACGACCTTACAACACCAAATTTGTTATTTTTCTTTAACTGGACACTTAACTTTTCGCTTTACAGCTTCTTCAAGAGCGTTCAACTAAAACATAAACTGTAAAAATAACAAATTTGGTGTTACAAGTTCGTTTATTTCTCGTATTAAAATATCTTCTACACACTAATATGAAATTAGATAATGAGAACCAGATGCTAACGACAACAATTTATCTACCATTTTCTTTTGGTTTCAATGGTAGTTGACAGCTGATGCATTGTCACTTTTAATACAACATTCAGCGGACGTCACGTTAGGGGTTGATTTACAAACCTTGCAGCAATAATTTTAGGTACAACAGCAGAGCTAATTAGTTGTACACTCCCCTCCCCCCCAAAAAAAAATCGTTAGTTATTTTTGTCGTAAGGCTTAATAGACATCACGTATTCTACTTATTGTTAGAAGTTCCTATAAAAAAGTGAACGTACGATACTCAGATCAATCTTAAATTTACCCCAAAAAATGCTTTGAAGTAGCTAATCAGTTGATGGTTTAACTGTTCTTTTATCAGTGTATGCCACTTAAAGCAATATCACAGAAAGTTTTCAGGAAATCGACAGCAGTCTGAAAATACGCAAGAAACGTGACAAGAAACAACCCATGTGTAATATAGACCTGTTTCCTGGAAGACAAATTTACTTTTTCAGAAATTGTTTGAAACAGAAATGTAATTGCAATTAATTAACTACTCCGGACATCAGAAACCCTTGACGAAAACAAATCGAAAGAATAACAGACCTCATTAATGCGTGTGAAACAGACTTATCAAAACACCACGCATATACATATAATATTCACTTCAACACTATATTAAGTCTAATCTTATTCCTTTGGTCTGCCCTTGTCCAGAATTTCTCGAAAGTGACATAACTCAGTGAAACGTGTTAAACTGAACTACAGACTTGGCTTCAAGTTGATCTTTCAGTATTTTAAACAAATTTTCCGGCTGAATAATCACAAGAACAAATTGGTAGCATCAATGTTGTATATTTTTGAAATTCCTATATAAATATAGGATTATTGTGTTAGTACAAAAAATTTCAAATCACCGTACATATTATTAATGTTTTTTGTTAATAGTTGTTTTATTACACATTACAATAAAAGTTTCGACGTTATGTAGTTTAAAATCATTAAGATATTTGTTGTCCAAGCCCATCTTCTTGACGCCCAGAACTTGCTGTTTTTTAATATATTTTGTGGAGATGTTGACTTATTCATTAAACTGTTGACTACTTCAAACACCAAAGGACTTTCACTGTTCTTGTTTGAGGTACTTACTATAAGTACATCTTTCGGGTATCGCTATTTCATCAGACCTTGTGACCCACTTCTGAATTGCTTTAAGGTGACCCAAATCTTACTGACCGATGACTAAATCACTTTCAACCGCGCTCGTGACCCATTTGACTGTCTATATTTTTCGAGCTTTTTATTCCTAAGATGCAAACATCTTATAATCTTTATTCAAGATCAGTAACACGTACACGTGAATAACCTCAGTAACACGTATACGCAAATATCAGGAGTAATGGTATACAACACCGGAACTCACCCCAGTAAATAAAGATTCCTCCAATTTTATTCAAAGAATGATGAACGTTTTTAAATCGTCTAATTATTTCACTTAATGAAGTTTTCCATAGTAGACAAAGTTGTTTGACCATTAGTAACCCTCTGAAAACCCACTGAGTCATGTCAGAGTTAAACTGGATTTATGCATCTTAGCTTTTTCCTTACAGGGAGTTTCCCATGACAAGCAAAAATATTTTACGATTACCAAGTAAAAACTCTACTGAATAACCAGATCATAACATAAGTAAGTTAGTGTTGCATAAAACTCTTTCTTCCCTAAACTACAAGATAGTTTACTGAAAATATGAATTCCCTTAAAAACGTGGAGAAAGAAAACATTTAATCACTTACTTTTGTTTCAAATTTCGTGCACAATTACACAATGACTATCTGTGCAAAACCATGGGTTCACCGACGACATTTGATTATCGTTTGGACAATTACACCTGATTTGAATTTCACAAAGTAATATATACCCCCACCCCACCCCGATGTCAGCGTGGCTGTTTCGGCACATTTTGCAAATTAGAACTTATAATCTTTTGCTTTTGTATTCGCTTCAAATTTAGGCAAAATCTTTGTAAAGAATAAAAAAAAAATTCATTAATACTTGTCTGTATAACGATAATGTGCAGCAACGATAGTGGGTGCCTATACTCTTCAGAGATGGGACAAGGTTTCATATCAATGATCGATATGGAAACCCATCGGTGAATGATATGATCTGTGCAGTATCGTTACTTATGACCATTTCGGAAGCACAGTTATGGCGTATAGAAGTATCAGTGCCAATGAAGGCCGTCAACGTCTCAATTCACACGCAAAGTCAGAGAATTTGTGCGTTGCACCAATTCAGAAGTTGTACAGAATATCCTATACTCTCGTACAACGGCGGATCAAAAGCATTAAAAATAAATACGAAGCCCAATCTGTCGCTCTATTTACCACAAGAAATTGAAAAAATAAATGAACAAGACTAAGCTTCTTATGGTAGTAGTTTGTACAGTAGATAGTTAGAGTTTAATTTTACTCACCATAGCTGAACAATATTTTTATATGATTTGAAGAATATAAGCTTCTTATGGTTGTAGTTTGTACAGTAGATAGTTAGAGTTTAATTTTACTCACCATAGCTGAACAATATTTTTATATGATTTGAAGAATATAAGCTTCTTATGGTAGTAGTTTGTACATTAGATAGTTAGAGTTTAATTTTACTCACCATAGCTGAACAATACTTTTATATGATTTGAAGAATATGCAGCAATGGTGCTGCTAATCTGAATTATTCAGCAGATAAGCTGTTTCGGAAGTATACTCTGCATACTCAGATACGTATATGGTGAAGAAAAAGAATAAAGCCATTACTGAGTATCTCATTTTGTAAATGTTACTCTTTCAGGAATATGAAATCAGTCATGGCACATTTTAAACAATATGATTTTAAGGTTACTCATGTTTCCTAAGTTGGTAACTTGCGATATATACTGTTAATGGAACTAAGTCCTTAACGGTTTTCAGTGAATGAATCTTTCTCCCAAGATCTTCTTTTTCTTTTCTTCTGGCTCTATTGTTTATTTATCTGGTTGAAGAACAGCTTTAAAAGTTTGCCTATAAGTTTCAGAGTAGTTTAAAATTTCTGAAGACTCACCTGATTATGGCAACTTTAACAGTTTTAAAACTTGATCTTTTTTCAGCCAGGGTCTTCCTAGGGAAACAAAACAGAATCAATCTAAGAACCAATCATATTATAATAAAATTAATATAGAAATTAAGACGTTTTTTGGCAAACGAAGTGCTGAGAGAGAAAACCTGGTATCTTAATATCTATCGGGCGGGTTCTTTAAAGCTTAAAAATACAAGATACTTGTGTTGTTAAAAAGATCTTATCTTATTTCATTCTTCTACGTGTTGTTAAAAAATCAAGTTAGTTTCTTCACTACACCAAAACACTGTATTAACCACGTCAAAGGTATAGGGGCTCCGAATGACCGAACCAAAAAACATATCTAAATAAAATATCCGATAGTCTATATATATATAAAGACGAAATATGTGTATTTGCACACTAACTCATCCAAGCCTATTGAGCCAATCTCAACCAAAATTTGTATGTAAACACCATGAACTATGGGGAACATCCTAAGGAAGTAGTCAAATCGAACTTAACCCTATTTATATTTTGTAAATCATGTTGGTTAATTACTCCTAGCCTATTGAGTCAATCTCAAACAATCTTGGCAGGTTGACGCTCTAGACAATGTTGAATATTCTAAGGGATTCAAGGTCAAAGTATGAAAGTTGCTGAATTGTTTCTCAAACAACCATGCTTTTTTCATGATCAATGAAACGTAGGGTGTTCAAGGGTGGGATCACCTAAAAAATCTTTATTTTTTGGAAGATGGAAAGCAAACTGCAAATGTTGTTTATGAAGAAGCTTTGTTATAATTTTGGTGGGATTTCAGCTTGTACTAAATATATTTAATGTAAGTTCACCTGGGAAATACATTCAAAGAGTCAAAAAGTGGTTAATTTTGCAAGAATGAGTAATGTAGTACTTGGAAAACATTTACAACCACTCTCTTGCTGTGTCCATGTGTGTTACGTACACATATTCTTCACAATTACAACAGAAACAATTATTCCTTTCATAAATATTATCACGATATAATTCCACATGATCTATAGGATGCAATTAACTGTGAATTGATATACATTTTCATAATGATATATTTATTTTCCACGACTGCTACAAATCATCAAAATCAAACTTGTTTCACTTGAAATAACTGTTGTAATAATCTATAAGTAAAGAACCAACATCATTCAGTTCTCACGGGTTTAAACAAAGGTAAACTAAAAAATAAAATTAGAATAAACAATTAAAAATAAGCTTTACACAATGAAAATAACTTCAAATGGGTATTCCTCAAGAATTAACACTTCGATGAGGACAGTTCAATAAAAACTGCAAAGTTCTGTTATAACTGAAAGCTTATTCTTAATAAGAGAAAGGAGGATACTGCCATTCCAGGATCTTCAACATCAAATCTATTTAAAACATCCCCGTGAATAAAACAGGACATGCATGGGGTTGGGATCATCAACAAGAGAACTGTTCGAAGGTACAAAAAAAACTGATTTTCAATGAAAAAGCTGCAGTGATCAAAATGCCTAATATTTCGGGTGTGAAATTATCACGGTTTAAACTTTGCAAAAGGTCACAAAAGTCTAAAGAACGAATGGCACAATTTTCTACGGACTGACAAAACAGAAACTGATTTTTTGGAAGCAATTGGTTTTGTTTTTATGTGTGGAGACATAACTATGGTAAATTTAAGCAAGTGTGTTTAAACAAAACAAATTAAATGTGGTATTGGGGCATATGGACGTTTTCCTGTTGCATGAGTCAGACTTACTGGCATAAATTATATATAGTATTACGAAGAAGCAGTATCCCAACATCCTTAAATTTCAGTAAGATATGCTTTCCAACAGTGTTTTCCAAACTTTAAATAGCTGCGCTCCTAGCTCAGCAAAGTTTCCGTTGCTCTCCCCCTCACATTAAAATAATTTATGCAAGTGAGAACAGCAAAATTGACCTTTTTTTACCTGTTTTTAATACATTTTTTAAAATGAAAAGAATGCTTCTAAGGAGTGATTAAATGCGAGAGCAAAAAAAAAACAGAGCTTTGAGAACAAAGTGATAGTCTCAAACTCTTCTGTTTCTTCCGTCGTTATTGTTGAGCTCTCCCGCCAAAAAGCCACCCCCAGGGGGTGCGCCCCATAGTTTGGAAAACACTGCTTTAAAACATACTGCTGACCTAGGCCTTGAATTTCACTAGTATATGATTTAAAACATACTGTTGAACAAATGATATTTGAAGAAGAAATAACTGGTGATATAAAAGCTTTGAAATAGTCATCCTAAAGTCTTGATGCAATCCAACTGAAAATGTGAAGAATCTGTTGAAAAGTAATGTAGTAAACATTGATCAAAGTTTGGATGACTGTACAGTAAAAATTGAAAGAAATCGGATTGATAGGCTCATAAACCTGGTAGCATCGATCGGTGTTCTAAAATGTACTTAAGGCTATAGAGATTACTCAATTTATGGTTCAAAATGAGCTACTTACGCCTAATATTGCGATATATATGTATATATAGAAAGAGAGAAATTGTAGAGTAAAATGGAATTTTTATCCTGTATACAGACCGTGTGATACTGTTCAGAGATAGGGGTTGTTGGTCGTTGCTGTTATGTTATGAAGTAACAACATCTGTGATAAAGTTTCGTTATACTTCGGTGCATCTATCTATCAATGTAAAAATAATAAATCAATATACTAAATGTAATCCCGCAGGGTTCCCGAGTGTTCTGTTTCAAGAGTGAATAAAACAAAAAAATTAAGAGTAACAAATATTTTCATTTCTTTCTTTTCAAGTTCATGTGTCATGTTGTGTTGTAGACTACAGAGTACATAATTCTTCTAGTCATTCATAGCATGCGCACGTTTTACTGACGACACGATAGTATAAACTGGAACGTTACGCACCACTTATGTGACGTCATTTTAGTGTCTACTAACAGAGACGACACACTGCTGTAATGTGGTGCGAGTGACCCATACAGGCGAACTTTGGGCCCTTTTCGGGGAAATAAATATGCAAAGAGTACTTATGTTACTATTTCTTAGCGATGATTTCACTATCTACTGTGTGATTTTGTCATTGACTAGATGCATTTTACACCGGTTAAAGGGCTCATAAGGAAGCAGATCTGAAATGTTAACCACTTTGATGATTCTAAAGCTCAAATGTCAGCACAGAATTCATAAAAACTTTGAATGCCAAATGGTAGAAACTCTCACTAACAACATTTCCTTCTCATGCGTTAAAGTTACTTCTGTTTACATGCATTTCGTCTTATATTACTTTTTTTAGCAATATGTTTAATATATAATTCCAGGACTATTTTGGAAGTCCCCCACGTGAGTATAGTTTATGTACCCAATTATAAGCGATGGAATTCGAACTTATTTTACAAATACATCAGTTCAATACAAAACCCAAACTTGCACAAAATCATGTTTAACAGAGAGATTGGTTAATAAACCGATATGTTCTTTTATTAACTAAACAAAGCCTGCTTGCATCGTCGTTTTGCACGACATTGTTCTGCGGAATTGAAGTAGCTTACCTCTTATTCAGATCCTTTCTCTGCCAATGTTCGGTATCGTTACCGCCAGAATACTGCCAGCGAAAGTGCAAGTTTTCTCCTAGTGACGATTTTCTGACCACACAGCATCTTATAGAGCCGGCAAACAAAAGTAGGACACCATCTGACTTTACCTCCGTAAGGTGGCGTGCAATTGAGTAGGGGTGGAGTGTGTGTGACGGGACACATTGTACAATCTTAAATTATTACCAAGTATTTTACTGCATAATGAAATACTGTATGAAATCATCTCACTTTAGAGCGAGGCCCTTCAAAGCTCCAGTTTCGTTGAGCCCTCAGAAAAGTACGATATGGATAAATTAGGTCGTTGATTAACTCAAGAGCAACAAAATCTTTTTTCATAACAATTATTGCAATAGAATGAATCAATTTATTACTTGTTTATCTTGTATTATCATTATTATTATTGATAAAAAGTCATTTTTGAAAGTCTATAACGTCTTTACGATTATATATTTGTGATAGGTTTAGTTGATTTCCTTCTGCCTATATTACTTTTACCATCTGAATTAAAAACCTCCTAAGCTTGTAACAGTCATGTGTTCCCTGAAACTTACGCGTTTGGACAATGCATTGTAACCTTGTAAACTGTAAAGTTCATATGCACTATATCAAATGAAAGGCAGGGCAGCATTTTAGAAACAACCTAGATCTCACATTTTGTCCCCACGATGCTTTACTGCTGGTTACCAAGACTAAACTTACAATGGTTCAACTATAGACGCAAGTTGGACACTTCAAAGGTTATTGCACAGACAGAAGAATTGGTTAAATACATTTTATTGTTTTAGTTACCATCAAATGTAAGCCACACACAAATGAACGATTTCTGCGAATAGCCTTTAGGAGAATTCGGTCTGTTCAGGATCTAAGCCTTAAATCCGATTCTCCTTACGCTTACATATATAACACAATCATGATCATTTCGATAAGTAGTGTTTTACGAGACAGTGACATACCAAATTTGTATACAGTATCCTCTAAAAGACTGGTCCTTAAGATTCCACTTTATAAACTCGCTGTAATATCGATCTGTACGTCTGACGATTCTATATTCGCTTTTCATTTAACTATCACATTACATTCCACTGTAAACTCGATCAATACATCTGGCGAAACAATATTCGATTTTCATGTAACTATCACATTACATTAGGTTCCACTGTAAACTCGATCAATACATCTGGCGAAACAATATTCGATTTTCATGTAACAATCACATTACATTAGGTTCCACTGTAATATCGACCTATGAGACTGTGCTACTTTTGTCTCTCACTTTTCTCCCAAAGAACTTCTTCTTCCATTGTCGGTTGTGCTCAGTCTAGTGGCCGTGATTACACACTGTTCCTCAACACTGCAATTTAAATTGTAACAAGCTTCCGCGAAGAAAAGTAGAGCCCATATCATACCACAAATGTTAACAATCTACTTATATTTCTACAAACCCTCTACTTTACTTGTGATATTGGCTTCCAAGATTACTTGCAGCGCTCAGGTACAAGATCCATTGGAGATGCATCGGAGGACTTCACAAGTATGTGTTCAAATGGGATTACTGCAAGTCCAGTTTCTTTGGCTAATCTGTTCCTGAAAATAGCCGTTAATTTCACGGTGTAGCTTTAGGAACTTTTAGCTTGTGAGTCTTGCTCGTTATATTGTTAATGTTACCAAGAGATATGCTCAACTTTATCGCAATGGGTTTCAGGTTTCTCTTAAATGATTGAAAGCATACTCCGGATTGGCTTGGAGTGAGGTCCAACTCTACATCTTATCACTCTCAATATATGGATGTTCGACCTGAAAGTGGTTGTGATGTATGTCTGTTCAGCCATGTACTTACTCGTGGAGACAATGCACTTTCGAATGATAAGGAATTCGTTGTGAACCACACATATGGGTGCTAATGCATTTCGCATTTGTAAATCGTTGTTATATAAAGTGTAATTAATTCTACGCGTTTCACTGTGATGTCGACCTACGTCAGACCGGCTTATTTCTGAACATTATCAGTATACTTATTCCTCATGTGTATACACATACATGATACTAAATGACTTGGAATTAAATACACGCTGGTTAATACATAAAAATGTAGTATAATCGTATTACAGATATGAGGAAATATGTCTATATTCATATCTGTTATAAATGACGTCTTTCCAAATTAAATACGTATAGTCAAGTTGAATTCTACAGCAACAAAAATGGCAAATAATGTTAAAAGTTTAATTGAGAAGTTCTGTGGTAGCCTGCTGTTTCCTTAAACTACATCCGGCTACACGCGTAGATCCCACAACATCAAGAGAAGTTATGTATATATCAGAAAGTATAAGAGTTTATACAATACGATCAACATTATCGGCACTAACGTTGCACAGTAAACCAAATCGATTGGTTCCTACGCGTACATATGAAAACAGAAAATAAAAACACGTTCACCCTCTAACCAAACATTGGGCATCAAAACAGACACTTAACCTAATTCAGTGACGCTACTAAATGTAATTACACGATAATTTGAAATTTGTCATATTATAGCTTCGACCAGGTTAAAATCATTGTTACAAAATTATGTCAATAATTTTAATGATTGTAATTGACACGTAATGTGATAACACATTGTTACATATAATGGCTGGAGACGGCTTGAATGGGTAATGAAAAAAAACTTTAATATAAGTTTAACATAACAGAAAATGGACAGGTTTTGTCATCATCAGGTACAAAGTAATTTACACTGACACGGATATATATATATATATATATACAGTATTGAACAAAGAAGTCACATGACCGGAACTGTTGTGAAACTTAGAAGAGGTATCTAGGCACCCCGGGGTGTTGGTTTAGAGTTTTTCTTCATTACCCATTCAAGCCGTCTCCAGCCATTATATACCTTGACTATTATTCAGTTATCAGTCACCTGTTGCAAAAATGTGTACACTTTTCTAGACTGGTTATTTCAGACTATTCAGTAATGTTTTACATGTTTATAAGGGTGTTTACAACAATGTTGGGGCCTTATCTATAACAATGCAATTACTCAAATGCTTTGTAACCAATCAAGTGAAATGAATAATTATATGTAATTTTATTTATTAGTCAAACAAATATCCAGCCAATGTCAAACCTAGTACTTTTATTTGGAAGATATAACTTTATCTTACAAAGTTTGAAAATCATTAAGGAATGAATAAGGATAAAAGTCAAAAGTCTATGTAGATAATATAGTATTATTATTATTTTAACAAGTAACAACACTGTTTTAACTTCACATTAGCTGCAGTAATGTTTCATTTTTACAATGACCAAATTTTCAGTATTTTTTAAATGAAAGAAGACTTCCACTACATTAATATAGTATTATGTCTTCATCAATGTTGACCATATAGCCCTAATGTAACCTAAATAAGTAAAACAAAGTTAAAATAATGTTAATGCATTCAATAATTGATTAGCTGTCAGGTTATAATCCAGCAATTTGAAACATATATCTATATTCTAGTAATGTGATTGACATGAAACTAAAAACAGTTGAAACAAACATTACAATTTTTAAAAATTAAAATTAAATATTTATAATATAAAATTATAACATTGGTAAATAG